AGCAGTTTGAGAACATAGAGCTGCATCATGGCCTGCTTCACCTTCAAAGCCCTCTTCAAGATGGGGGCAGACTTGAAAACAACCAGCATCTGAAAGAAAGATTAAATATAATGAAGCAAATTGAAGGCATCTTACAAACTAAATGTCCCTTTAACAGGATGCACACTCGTAAGGAGGCAGATATCACTTTGCATTCAATATAAAGATATTGAATTCAGGTGGGCGTTCCAACCTAAGGCTTCTTTATGAGACGCAGACTAATGCAGATTTACACACCATGGTCCTCGAGTGTTTCCACTTGGTCAGCTTGTTCAGGATTCTCAACAGATTAATGCAGGAAAACAGATTCCTCCAGCAGAACTGACTGCTGTCTCCGGCTTCCTGAAAACACACGTGAAGACACCGAGAACGTCATTACACAGCGAGCGCTACGTTCTTAGCTGACTATTACTCACTGAGGCTCAATCAGTGTGACTCACCAGGCTCTCAGCTGTAAGCTCAGGCATCTCATGGACCACACAATGGGGAAAGTCCAGCACACATATACTACAGTGTGAAAACACAGAAACAAACAACGAGAGCCAAAAACTGATAACTCTGCAGGTCAACCTGTCACCTGTAACTTAATGTGAATCTGTATGAACCTCTTTTAGGTTATTACACCAAACAGATGCTTGTGCGACTGATCGTCGGAGGTTGAAAATGGTGACGTAAATGGCGCTGTAAGTCGAAAGGATGAGAGAAAAGGATCCTACCTGTTTTTGGCACTGATGTAAGACATGATGTTCTGGTTAAAGAACTTGAGGATGAGTGGGATACAGTTGGCAAACACCAAGTGCTGGGAGACAATCTCAAACTGCAGGGAAAAAAAGAGGAGGCGGCAGTGAGGAACAGTCTGGAGAAGAGCCATGGCTGAAAATGCAACTGTTACATTTAGTGATATGTATTGGAAGAAAGGAAAGCCAATCAATCAGTCAATAAGAGTAAAAAATAATGCAACACATTTCAGACTTTTCATTGGGGGGTGTGGGGAAAAAACAACCCAATATTACTGCTGAGTGTGGAAAAGATCAGGAGCCAAGTGGGGTCATTTCTCATGCTGAAGCTACAGTATTCATCTCAATGCGAGTTTGTGTGGGTCTCAAACAATCTGCAACCGATTTGACTTCCCACTGTAGCCGCTTTCCCCTTCAAAATTGTGTCAGCATGTAATCTCCTTTAGTTGCAACAGAGGGCGCTATCATTCTAAGTTTACAGAGCAGCTTCTCAACTATGTAGATATCCCTTACTAGCATCAGAAAGATTCATAATCACTGAAGCAACAAAAAACTGAGATACTAAGCACCAGAAATGAGGATGAATCATTTTTCAGTGAGTTTTACGTCCTCACTGAGATGAACTCCAATTGCGAATCTGTGGCTGAGTCAGGGGTTTGCGAGTTGTGAGTGAAGATAAGGCAACAAACGTGTGAGGGGGGGAGGAGGATGAAATGGAGAAAGTGACACACTTGACTGATTAATCAGGCGCAGGACTGGGAGGTTACAGTGGGGGAGGTGTATGGATTTTATCAGGGAAGAGAGGTGACATGTAAGAGGAGGAAAAGTAAGTTAAGGTGTATGTAGGAGGGCACAGTGAAGGTGTCTGTGTGTGTGTGTGTAACCTGATAGATATGGTTGAGTTTGAAGTGCTTGAGGAGCAGGAGCAGCAGAGCAGAGATGGCCTTGACGATGATTTCCTTGTGTCGGTTAACATCGATTCCCAGCTTCATGCTCTGCAGGACGGTGATACTAAAAGAAACACACGCTGTAACTGTAAGGCCTTTGGGTCTTTAACAGTATAATCACTTCTCTGACAAAGTGACAGGCACAGAAGGAGACCGAATCAGATTTATTTTGGGCTTTTTAAAAAACTTTTTTTTTAGCCAGGACAGAACTGGAAGACACAAAGGAAACAAACTGGGGCAGACTTGAACCCAGGCACCCTGTATGGCCTTCTGATGGCTCTGCTGCCAGCTCAGGCAGGTGAGCGAGTGCGTAGTTTCAAAACATGCTCACCAAAAAAA